GTCGGCCAAGCAGTGCCGGCTGGCGACCCCCAGGGGGAGGGCCTTCTCTGTGGGTGCCCCCACCCTCTGGAACGAACTACCCCCCGAGATTTGGATAATTCCGGATCTCCTTACCTTCCGTCGCGCCCTCAAGACATGGCTCTTTCAGCAAGCGGACCTGACCTAGGGTGGATTTTATACTGGGTTTTTTAGGAATTTGGAAGACGCAACTTTAAATTTGGTTTAATTCAGTTTTAAGGGGGGGATTGTATATATGTTTTGGTTTTAAGTATGTTGTGCGCCGCCCTGAGTCCCGTCGGGAGAAGGGCGGCATATAAATTAAATTAAATAAATAAATAAATAAATAAATAAAGGATGACCAAATGAGGTCTTGCTTTTTAAAACACCTGGCCAGAAACTCTTGAAATCCTGAGAACTCCTGTTTTGCTGTTTCTGCAGAGCCTCCAGTGGGGAAGGTGAATTACAAGGTGGTTGATGAGAGCCTGGAGGTCCTCATCTGCCAGGCCCATGGCTTCTATCCCAGGGAGATCCAGGCCACCTGGATGAGGGATGGAGAGATCTGCCAATATGAGACCCTCCATAGGAACGTGGCCTCCAACTCAGATGGGACCTATTATGTCTGGCTCAGCATTGATATTGACCCCAAGGAGAGGGACCGTTATCGGTGTCGCCTGGAGCACCAGGGCTTGCAGGAGCCCCTGATCTTGGCTTTGGAGGAGGAAACAGGTGAGAAGTTGAATGATTAAGACATGGAGAAGTATCATCTCTACTTTTCAGATGGCGAGTAGGATATATAGTCTGCATTTAGATGTGGGAGAGAAGTGATGATATGGAAATAGAAGATACGAGGATATGAAGCTGAAACAGTTTTCCTTTCTGATAGAATTATCTGGCGGGACAAGTTATCCCCTGTCATTCAATGACCTTTTCAGCAGGTCCTCTGTCAGCCCAGCAAGATGGAGCAGCATAAGAAACCAACGTCATGTACATCAGTGTTACTTTTACAGATAGTTCTCAACTTACAATAGTTAAGTGACTATTCGCAGTGACAGTGGCACTAATAAAGTATCTTAAGACCATTTTTCACGCTTACAACCATGGAAGCAGCCCCATGGTCACATAATCAAAATTCAGATGCTTGGCAACTAACTTGTAACTATGATGGTTGCAGAGTCCCAGAGGTCTTCTGATGAGCAAAGCCAATGGGGAAGCCAGATTCACTTAACAACCGCATGAGTGAAAGTCCAACAAGTCAAATCTTGCAATCTGAAGATGATTCCCCCTCCCTCCATTTATCTTCGGTGAACTAAGGAAGGTTTTGACACATTTACATTACCTGATTTCTTGGCCCAGGCTGAAGTCCCCCTTATCTGACCCCTGCCTTGGTTATGGCTCTTCCGTCTGTCCTTCAAGGCCATTCGCTCCGCCCTCTTCAACCTTGGAGGGGAGGGGCTTCCTTCAGCTGGGGGCACTTCTTGGAGGCCAGTGGAGGTTGGGAATGGCTTCCATTGCTCAACCTCCCAACTTCAGGGAACTCAGCATCTGTCTAATCAGAACCCTGTTTCTCCTTCTTCAGCTAGAACATGGTGGATTCCTGTGGGAATTGGGGCTGCCCTAATCTCGGGAGCCGGGATTCTCTTCCTGACATGTAAGTGAAACAAACACATCCACTGACCCCCATCCCCAGGTCTTTCTGTGTTGACTGAGCTGGTCTGGATGTCAGATGTTCCCTGAGGGTTGCAGCCAGGATCCCCCAATACAGAATGGGACAACTCGCTGCAAGACCATTCAACAATGCAATATTATTTTGTCATTCCCATTTCATTCTGTCCCTCCTTTTGCATCCTTTCTTTAATGATCCTAGTCCACCATTTCTTTGATATTAGTGTTACTCTTGACCTCTGGCAAATTGTTCTGTGACAAGTTGGCCATAGAGAGTTGTCCTGTAGTGAATTGTCTGCAGTGAGTTGTCATAGACCCTGCACCATAAGCTCCTGATCCCCAAAGCAGGGGCAGAGGACAACACTGGGCAATAACCATTAGGCGCATTCCTTTATATTTCCCTGTGTTCAGTACATCTTGTCAATCAAGAATTGTGATGTCCTATAGGCGTTCTAAGAGGCACCTGGGCCGTTTTCAACTTAGAATTTTACTTTTCATTTCCTTGTAGTCCAGCACATCTTCTCAACCAACCATTTTGCCTTTCATCCATAATAAACAATGGGATAACACATACTCCTTTGCAATAGTGGCGAATATCTACCATCCGCCATGCTCGTGAGTTAATCGAAGGCTGGCACTCCACAAGCAATTCCATCAACAGACACATTGACCTACAACCAGTGTACGAACCCCTCAGAATCCAAATCAACCCCACAACCAACCAGAGACAGCACCGTCCCTCAACCATCCCGCGCAATCCCCCCTCCCACCAGCAGTTCACCTCCCAATGACCCTGGCCTTGATGTAACCTCCCCATTACAAGACCCATCACAAGCCTCTCTCTAATGACTCACACCTGACCCATCACAAGACCCTCACTCCACACACCCACACCTGAAGCCCTGATCAACAGAAAAACACGGACACCCCCTAAACTCCGCTAAAGATGTTCCCTAGCCCGGTAATGAAACATTTGCAAACCAACCCACAAGCTCGGAAAAGGAACCTCCACCCTCAATATACTCCTTTCTCAAGATGTTGGGTTAAAATCCAGGCAGTTGTACCATCTGGGCCTTTCAAGGCCTTAAACATAAATCCTTCTCCAGGTCAGGCAAAAGCGCCTCCCCTAGCAATAAACGAGCTGTCCTCTTTTTTTGTAACCTACCAGGCCGGTGGTGGAGAGTCAGGAAAAATCTCTTCCAGCAAGTGAACTCTTACTTTGATTATGTTCCTCCCAAAATGGTTGTTTTCCCCCCTGTTCATGGTACAGAAAATAACATTCAGTCACAGATGATGGTCCAATCCAAAGTAACCATAGAGGTGAGTCTGATTATTTCTCGAGTCTAAGAAACAAAACTCTGGGCTTGGAATATACACGAAACCCAAGGTCATTAAGGTTGTTGGGGTGGGGGATTCATCCCCAGAATCTTCCCAAGGGAGACATGGAGGGATTATGGGCTTCCTGAATTCCTCTGGGGCTCAGCCCCTCCTGCTGGGGACCCACTGATCAGCTGAACTGCAGGGAAGATCCAGCCTAGCTCAGTCCTGCTGGCTCACCAGCTCTGAGGGAGGAGAGGGACACAGGCAAGGGACCCCGAGCAGAAGTTGGGCACCGTGTTGTTGAAATGGGGGGGGGGAGTTTTCTGTCCAGTAAGAATTGGAGGGGAGGGGGAGAAGGAAATTGGTGTTGGAAAAGCATTGGGGGAACTGTTAAGATTGTGGTGGTGGGGACAGTTGAGGGGAGGAGAGAAAACACATATCACCACTTTCTACAGAGGGACGATTGAGAGCATCCTGTCATACGGCATTACAGTCTGGTTTGGAAGCATCACTGCTTCAGACAGGAAGGCAGTGCAGAGAGTGGTGAGGATGGTCGAAAAGATCATTGGCAGTTCCCTCCCTTCCATCCAGGACATAGCACAGAAGCGTTGCTTGAGCAGGGTCCGTAAGATTATCTTGGACACTACACATCCTCTTCACAACCTGTTTTCCTTGTTAACTTGGGGGGGGGGGGTTTCGTGGTATCTGAAGCAGAACACCTGGATTCAGACACAGCTTTGTTCCATACCGTGTTAACCTTGTGAATTCTAAAGCTTCCTCTTTCCGTTATGTATTCCAGATGGACAGTGATTAATATTTATATGTTTATTTATATGTAAGGGTGAAAGTTTATACATATGTTTTATATAGAATGTTTAAATGTGTGCCATATATGTGTACACTTTTGAGAGCAAGCAACTAAATTTCACTTTTAATGTATACCAATGTGCCCACAATAAAAAATGACAATAAAGATCTATCTATCTATCTATCTATCTATCTATCTATCTATCTATCTATCTATCTATCTATCTATCTATCTATCTATCTATCTATCTATCTCTATCTCTCTCTGTCTCTGTCTCTGTCTCTGTCTCTGTCTCTCTGTCTCTGTCTCTGTCTCTGTCTCTGTCTCTGTCTCTGTCTCTGTCTCTGTCTCTCTCTCTCTCTCTCTCTCTCTCTCTCTCTCTCTCTGTATATATATATATGAGTCTTTGGTCATTCGGGTTTTCTCCCGTGTAAGATTAGAAGTATCATAGCGACGTTTCGATGAAATCACATTCATCATCATCAGGCTTGTGCTTTTAGCTTTGTGCTTCTTAGAGTAATATGAAATGTCTGCTGTTTCTCTCTTTTAACTGCCAGTGGGGTTTGAAATGAGGGGGCGGGGACTT